TCAACAAGAAAACTACCGAACATTTCATCATGTAAAGGCTATATAAGGAAGCAGGTATACCATTTTACAGTTACACAGCGTATTTTTATCAACTATGTCAATAGTTCTGCAAGGGATTTCCCTTCTTACCAAGCAAGGATGCAATTAATGATATAAGTCGCTCTTCGAATTCCTCCCTGTTGCGCTTCTTGTTTTTCTTGCTCAAAGGTATCTAAAAAGCAATAGAATGCAAACTTAGACACGAACACAAGCACATATGCATGAGAGTGATAGTAGTTAAAACAAAAAATAACGACGACAGCAGATTGACAGTATAAACAAGAAAATTCAAAACAAATGCAAGAGTGGTACTGGCAAATCAATAACAAGGAACATTTTCCATTCCAAAATTTTTAATTGCTTTTCATCCTAAATTTTTAACTAAACATTCAGGGCGTGATTCAACTTTATGTCACAAACTCTTTCTATTGACAGATTACCCCCATCGACAGCACATAGGTAACCCTATAAATTGGACTTTAAAATGATTAATAAAATGTTGTCAATAACCACTTAAGCAAGTCGTAGGCAGGAAAGGGGAACTGAACTTGCCTTACCCATGAAAGCAGGAAATGCAGTCTTCAACCCCATGACATCAACAAACCGCTCGCATGCAGGTGGATAATTCGTCATGGCAAAATCCAATGCCCTGATGGCCGACCCGTAACAAGATTTCTTTTGATTCATAATAATGATCATCAACTCCACTCCTTCTGCTTTCACAAACCTCTCCTTATTCTCCAACGGCATTAGCAAACAACACAAACAATCAAAAAAATTCTCAACCATCTCCTCCTCGTCACCTGTCTTAGGGTCCCTAGACTTGTACATCGCTACAGCCTGCAACAACGTGTCCACCCCATTCATCTGTCCAAATCTCTTCTGATTCGCAGTGCTGTTCTGTAACAGAATAGCTAGAATCTCTGACGCGTACTGTTTGTTACTATCAAATTCACGTACTTTGATACGAGCCTGGAGCCATTTCAACAATTTGGTCTTCTCGCAGACAAGCTCGGACACCGAGGGCTTGACCTCAATGAGGTTCTCAATTGTAGACAAGGTATTATAAATGGCAGCGGATTCGTCCTGATCGGAATCATTTAACCGCGCGAGGTTCTGAACCAGCAATTCAACCGCATTGTTCTCGATAAGTGCATCAACAAGGACCTGCGCGGGCTCATCGTTGTCCTCAATGACGTCAGCATCGGTAAGGTCCTGTAAAAGTGTGACCGCATCGATAGCAATATCACTGTTGTCGTGGTTGAGTAGACCGGTGATTGAATTGACAGTGCCTAGGCTGACAAGGTCCGGATAGAGCTCCGGGGCGCCAGCAAGGATCTTGAGCTTCTGGAGCTCGTCGTGGAGCTCCATCTCCGAGTCGGCGAATTTATCGGGCTGGTCAGGGTACTTGAGGCGGGCGGCCGTGTTGGCGTTCAGACGGCGCTCGAAGGAGAGGGCTAGCTTTTTTACGGTTTTAAGATCGAGGGTTTCGACGGGGGTATGTTGAGCTTTCTCCAGGGCTTCGAGAAGGGAGAGATCGACGCCACCGTTCGCGAAGGAGGCCGGCGGTGGGGAGTCCGAGGAGTCATCGCGTTTGCGCTTGTTCTGAATCGGAGGATCCATGGGGTAATTCACTGGGTTTTCCCTGTGCAGTAGAACCCTAAATTTTGTATCACAGTGCAGCTTAGTGACGGATAGGAACCAATAGCGGTAATAGCAGAGTAGGTCCCTAGTATCTCACTTCTGTTGCACTAGGTCTAAAATGTTTGGAAATGATCATTTACATCCTTACTCTTTTATTCTAGTACCAATTAGTCCCCAATGACCAACTTAAATTTTAAAAGTAACATGTCCAAATTGTCAAAAAGTAACTTTACCCCTATCTTTAAGATGAATAAAAATCAAATAAATAGCTATAGGTGCTGCCTTCGAGTTAATTAAATGACTGATCAC